TGGCATACGGTAGGAGAGCACGAAGCTGTTCAGGATCTGGAAATTCAGGGCTTCGGGCTACCGTGAGATTGGAAGAGATGGTCTTCCGTGGACTTCGGGGTTTTGGCGGGGCATGACTCCAATGGGAAATGTCAAGTTGGTCGAAGCAAACCACAGCGCAGTGTCGCAAAGCACTTGACCCCAATACAGAACCCGAAGACGAACTAACCAATTCGACCCTACATGTAATCTACACCTTTAACTTTAAACCTGTCCCCCGTAGCTTCAGCCGCAGCCTTTCCAGCAAATTCCTCCAGCATGGCCTTCACCGGCGTGGACCGGGCTGCTCTCGTAGGAGCACTCGACCAGTGCCTGGATCAGATTCCGGGCTGCATTCTGTTCCTGTAAAGGGTTCTATAAGGGCACGTTTTTGGGTTCCTTTAAGGGATCTATAGGGTTTTAGGGTTGAGGGTTTAGGTTGATAGGGCACATCCTGCATTATCCAGACCAAGGAACATACCATCATTGCCATTGCGTAGGGTCCTTAAGATAATGCAGGATCAACCGTACTGGCTTTTGTTCTGATAGGCACTGTATTATGGGCTTCTCAGCTAGTGTTGAGTTGAACAGAAAAGAAGGGAAAACATTCCGTGCCGACTCTCAAGTTTCCGTAGCTTCGCCGCCGACCCTCTGCCTATAGAAGAGCATTAGAAAGCCGGTCCTTCCCCTCGTTCTGCGCCAGCGTCAGGCGTCTGCTTGAATCACGGGGACTCACGGTGTCAACCACACAGTTCGCAAGCACCCCAACGATTCCAAACTACTGTGCGTGCATTGTAGCATGCTGGCAGGAAAGACTCCCTTGGGCAAGTGGCGCCGCGGCATGCAACAGTTGCAAGCTACCTCTTCGGCCCCCCAAATACCCCTTTGCCTGGAGTGTCCAAGTTGCGAGAGCCGTACGCTTAGATCAAAATATGCTGTACCATTACTGTTTCACGGTGCTGTGCAAACAGCAAGGTCCAAGAACTTCAGCGGAGCTCAACCGAAACCCCCAAGCTGAACTCTAGACCCCACGCAGAGGTCTCCAGATTCTATAGGCGATTTCCTTCGTATCATGCTGGCATCCGTCCCGCGCTCGGCAGCCAGGGTTCCTGCTTGGGAGCTGTCCGTTCCAGTTACAGTTGAGCTTGGGTATTCTTTTCGGACACGAATCTCCCCAAAAGACTCCCAACCCCCCAGTCCAACAGCGTTGGGAACTAATGATTGCCCACCCTTCCGCCCCAAGCGACACGGACCCATCAAGATCCCTATGTCGGGTCGATTTGCAAATCCTCGGCGTTTCGTCTATACGGAGTGTTTAGCATGAGTCATGAAATTTGGTTTGCAATTGTCATTGCTAAGGGGTGCTAGAATCGCGTATAGTCGTGTGGAATTCCTGCGGGTGCCCCCTGTCTTACGAGCCACCACTTTCGCAAATCAGAAATCCCTTCAGTTATCACACTTTGCACCCTGCAAACCGTTGAATTCGGAGCAACGCCTTGGGACTGCTGGACACCGCCCAGGAGCCACTGATCTTCAGGCGCCCTGTTCCATGAGGGAAGAAGAGACCGCATAGACATAGAGGTTCTTGGGTGTAGGCCTTGGTGGTTTGTAGTTTTAGGACTTGTTGTCTGGGCCTTAGTTTTGGGTGAAAGTCAGGTTTGGGCTATGCCTATGCTGCTTACTCAGGTGCTGCAGCATTAGGTACTAGGATTTTCTGTTTCACTTTAACAGATCGAACATGCACCCGAGAAGACAAACCCCTCGGTGTTTTTGCTGGGATTACTTAAATCCTAAACTGAAAACCCTAAACCCTGTCCAGCCGAACTAGGGTGTGGGTTTCTTGGGGTTTAGCGTTTGCTTTCTGGGAGGCTGCTGTCAGTTGCTACCATGGACTATGCTTAGACATTTGGTGTTGGCTTCTCTGAGGGTCGCGTCTGACAGCTACCCTGTGAGTGAACCGACTTACAGGGGGATAATGAGATTCGCCGAACCTACTACTTCAGACCTTGCCAGGCTTGTCCGAGAGTGAGTGTCAAAAAAACCCTGTCCAGAGAGAGGCATACTCGGAATCGAACGAACTTCAAAAGTATGAACCTCATTTAGCCGGTCCCGAGCGTGGGAGCGTAGTTTAATAGGTTGCATTCATGTGTCGAAACAGCTTACAAAAAACCATATTGTAGCCTGAAGACCCTTTCCTAGAGACCCTTTCCTAAAGAATGCCTCGAGCACGCTGAAGGCCCTAGAGCCCTAAACCTGCCGTGTGCGAGTGTGAGTGTCGAAAGCCCTCAACCAAGAAACACATCTTGAAAAGAAGCACAGGCAGAGTTAAGCCTCAAAGCCACTTCAGGAGATCATCGCCCTAAACCCAGAAGCCCTTTTTGGAACCCCAATGGCTCGACACTCCCACATAGATCCCTTAAAGGAATCCTGAGCAGAAACACCAAAAGCCCCTACCAGCAATGCAAGGAAGCCTGAAAACGAAGCCCAAAATCCCTTAAAAAGGGAAGACCCCGCAAAAGCTCCAGTTTTCAGGAGATCTTCCCCTCTATCGCTCAAGCCCTGAGCTTACCTCCTTGGATTTTCGATGGCGCCCACCTGGTCATCGACAGGCCCCCGGAGGGCAAGGGTTTCTTCTAAGGGTTCCGGTTCCGGTTCAGCTTTTCAAGGGCTCCAGAGCTGGACCGTTCGAAAAAAGTCTTGGAGCCGTGAAGTCTTGGGTTTGGGGTCTTCGAGGATTAGGCTCTTGGGAGTTGAGTGGTTTAGGGCGTAGCCTCTTAGCCATCGGACTTGAATATGCATTTATAGTAAATACCTACGCAACTATACTCTGTGTAGCGAGCACCGAAATCCAACGTTTGGGACGCGCTTCAATCTTCGGACCCCCTAAACCTGAAGCCTTGCTGCCCAACTTGCAGGGTTTAGGAGTTTAGGGTTTGGGGTTGTCAAAAAGAGCTCTTCGTGAGACTCCTTTGCCAGGCCTTTTCAGGTTCAGACTTAGAGACAAGGAGCAATTCGAAGCGTTGAATGCAGATTTGTTGACCGACCGTCTCTCAAAAGCCCTAGAATCCTAATGCACGCACGCTTGAACCCTATAAAACCTTCCTTCTCCTACGTAGTAGAACCCTTATAAAATCCTAAACCCGATCCAATGCTGCAGCTTCGACCTCAACGGCAATGGCACGTTAGAGGAGGACGAGGACGAACCCCTTTGAGCTTCCTCTGGTCTTGTTGTTGTTTTTTTTTGGCGGGCTCCTGCACGGATTCCAATTCTAGGCGTCTCTGGGTCAGGGGCTCGTAAGCCCCTGCCGAGTCTCTTAGAGCCTGGAGGTTGATTGGTCCGTTTGGGCAGGTTTAGAGTTTAGGCGCATAGGGTGCTTGGAGTTGTATAGAGTAGGTTCCCTACAATCCTACAAGCAGCTGGTAACCGCTTTTGTCTGCTGGTAGAATCATGATGATACCGACGGTACTGGCACTTGCAAGGATGTATGACATGTCCGCCACAATTTCGGTTCTGCCACGTAGCAGCAACTCGCTACTTACGTTAAACAACCTAGCACCTAAGACAGCGAGGCCTAAAAGCCATATGTCACGCTCAGCAAAACCATCCATCACACATGGAAGTCGCGAGTTACCCGATGTTCCAAGCTGCGTTTGCCCAGATGCGTGTCATTTCAAGATGTTGGTGAGGGCGAGGGTCTTTGGGGCATGGGAGAATACAAACCGTGGTCAGCCAGTTCAACACGTGTGGAAGCAGCACTGCTGAAGAACTTGCTCGTCCTGCACGGTAGCTCGGTGGTCAATCGACAGGCTCTTGATATGTAAGCCTTTCGGCGCTCCCAAGTACTCGTGGACGAGGCCTTGGTACTGTTTCTATGGATCGCCTCACTGAATCCTAAGCTTTTGCTCGGGACTTTCTTTGCGAACCCCAATCCTAAAGCCAGAACACCCAATCCGCAGGCCCCAGGAACAAACTCTTGAACCCATCATATGTTGCTGTTCGAATGATGTGCCATGGTGATCATCGCCCATAGCTACCCGAGATACTGCCACAACATGCCGCATAAAATGAAAACGGGCCGTACAAGGAAGCCTATTCTCTTGATTACGGCCCCTAAAGCTCTATGCTTTGAGAGGCAAAGCGCATCACCTGGAAGCTCTTGCAGCAGAAGCGCCTTGTGGCTGGGCAACAAAGGCTTTCCATGCTACGTAGTGAGTGTGTGTAAATCAAAGCTCAAGATTCTTCACAGTGCTGTCTACATGCTCTGTAGGGTTTTCGAGGGCTCACTCGAGCCCTAAGGGTTATTCAATAACGCTAGGTTGTGATTGCGCTGGCTTTGTTATAGTGGCTTCCATTGAGCTCTGAGCAAGACCCCAGACTGGATTGAGGTTCAGGCGACTTGGGTTGGGCGGCAGTTTGTAGAAAGCCGTGGTTCCTTGAAGGTCGTGGCGTCTTTCTTGAGTTTGTTGTTCAGACTCTGTGGTGTTGGCTTTAGTTTCTGCTCGACTTGCTGCAGTGGGCTCACACTCGCGATGAGCCAATAGCGAAAGCAGAACTGTCCAAAGTTGAGCTCACACACTCCGAAGCATCAAAGTCATCAAAGTTGTCAAAGTGTTGCATAAGCACGCAAATGAGCGCTATACCCCTCAAGCTTGCGCCTTACGAACCAGGCGTGCAGCGAAATCAGTGATGTTTCACACGAACATGGTAGACCCTTCATGAAGTGCCTGCACTCCGTTACTCAAGATTGCAATAGGGACTTTCGTCTCGAGCTCCCCGAAGCTCAACATCACCTCGGAGCTCAGTGTTTCCCTGGCGGTTTTTTGTATGATTCTCTGTGGATTGGGCTTCTCCTCACAAAGATACTGGATCCTTCAGGGCTTCGTCTTCAAGGGAACCCTTTAAAGGAAGCCCTTAAAGGCAACCCCTAAAGCAAACGGAAGCCTCAAAGGCAAAAGGGAACCCTTAAAGAGGGAGCGGAGCCATGGCATTTTGGAGCCCCGGGGCGGGGAATCTCCGCCCGCTGCCGCCAGCCTCATGCAGCAGAGAGCGTTTGCTAGGCTTTGGGGGATTCGGGGTGTGGATCAGGGATTTGGGGGGTTTGGGGGGTTTAGGGCTTTTTAGCTTTCGGGCTAGGCTTTGAGATCTGATAACAAGGGATCCGTTTATAAATCTATCAAGGTAGATTGAAGGTACTGCAAGAACCGCAGCAGTGGGGTTTGGATTTTCTTGGCGGTTTGGGGCTTTGGGAATTTGGCATTGGATCTTCATGGTTTTGGCGTTGAGGGTGTGAGGTTCAGAAGTTAAGTGCGCGGGGTTCAGGGTTGGTCTGGGGAGGTGGGGTTCAGCAGCACCAAGGGTTGACTCGCTGACATCTGCAGCATGGAGATCTTAGAGCAACCGTGCAACTAGGTGTCCATCTAATGGACAAGTCGCGAAGACTGATATTCAGGCAGAGCGAGGTCCTGGCCCGATGCATCTTGAGGGTTCATGCACGAAGTGAGGAACACGGGTGGGTAGGCAGTGTGCTGCAAGAGTATCGCTGCAAGCATTCTTGTTCGGTAACAGATGTAGGTGCTTCTTCCGTGTTTGTGCCCGCAGGAATAGCTTCGCATCTATTCCGAAGTATGGTGCTAAGGATCCTCGGTAAGTTCATTAAGTTCCCTCAAGCAGGAGAACGGTAGAGTCTTTGGGCAGGTGGCGCTCTCATCCCCGATGCGGACATAAGACCGCCGTTGGCATGGCGCCAGACCCCCCATGCTGCCGGTCTCAAGATCTTGAGTTGGTCGCAGATATACCAAGCGTGCATCTATGTTACATCTCTGAATCGTATGTATATTACGTATGTGTTTGTTTGTATACAGAGGAGAGATAGAGAGAGAATGAGTATATACACACACGTACTGTCACATACATGTGCATATATATATATATATGTATATATATATATATATAATTATATATATATATATATACTGATAGTGTGTGTGTGTGTGTGCGCAGCGCATGTGGTCATTTGCTTACTGAGCCGCCTCCTTTTTGAATGCATTCTGAGGCCCTAGCTACTGTCGCCCTTGCCGGGCCTTTGGCGGTTTCATGGGCCTCTGCCGGGGCCAAACACCGCGGGGACCTCGACCCAGCTCTTGTCGGAAGGGCCTTTTTGAATCATAATTTTGGTGTCTGACCGATTCCAAAACTAATTCGTCACGGTCCCCATGATATCAGATCTGAGAATGACGATGCAGATAGGCCTTTACTACCAGACGAGCCTGGAGAATCGTTTCGCTGCTCTTCGCGGACTGTCCGTCTGTGAAAAAAAGCACAACGTCGTTACTACGCGGATTCGGTCTGGGGCTTGCAGACATCCCCAAACCTTTAAGCTTATACTTATTGGCTAGTAACTCAACTTTTCACCTTTTGGGGTTCTTATAAGGGATTCTGAAAGTTTCAACTCGTAGTTCCTTGGGTTTTGGGCCAGTGAGCAAAAGCCCCAAAACCCTAGGCCCTGAGCCCTAGAGCCCTAAACTTCATGCGTGTTTAAGGCTCTTGGTCCATCTCAGGGCCTCTCTGTAGTAAGTAGATAGCATGGTAGAATGTAGTATAATCGACCTTAATCTTGAAGTGTGAGCCTTCATCTTGGAGATGGGGATCCAGGACGAGCTCCTTCCTTCCAACGCAGAGTCACCCCCCAAGACCCCTACATAATGTACCACAATATACAGTAGAAAGTTATAGAAGTTGAATATGCTACAATAGTATACCATAACAATCTTCTAACGGTGAGTGACAGCAGCGCTGAGGGCGCCCACTGAGCCGCCGAAAGTGCGCTGCTACAGAGGAGGCGATTTTGGGGCAAGGACTATCCTCGGAACTGTGGCGATGTGCATGGGTTCCATACTCATTAGGCTTACAGCGCAAGTTTCAAGGGAGTCGCCTGTCGAATTTGTCCTTTCGAGGCAAGATTCTACAGATTCCTCCACTTGTCAGTGTATCCATGCGCTGTGTCCAGGAAAGACCGAGTCCTGCGAAGGTGTTGCGCCACTACCTGCTAACAAGAGATACACGGTAGACAATAGTAAAATAAACTCAGTCCCAAGAAATCAGAAGTGTTTTGGTAGCAGGGTCAGCTGGTCAAAACGCTGCCCATGCCCCATAGCCACACTTCAAGGGCACCGTCGTCCCTTAGAAGTTTTGGGGCCCCCCTAGCCCGGAGGCGCACCGTCAGAGGACCCTTCGAGGCCAGATAGCTCTTCTGGGCTGCGGCTTCTTGGTAGAATCTTGTTCTCGTTGTTATTTTTGTTTTGGTTGTTCGTACTATTAGTTCTTAATTGTTGCAGTTGGGGAAGCGCGCTGCTTCTCTGAAGAGTTGCTTCTGCAAGCCCTACACGCCGAGCCCTAGACGCCTAAACTCGCTGAGACTTGAAGAAGGCGCCTAGGTCGTAGGTGTAGGGCTTAGTTAGTGTGATAGTGGTTCGGCATCAGGTTTTGGGGTTATTATGTGCAAAGACCCAGTGTATCGAGTATTTACCTGTAGGGTAGTGCAGCTGGTAGCGCAGGGCGAACACGTCGTGTCCCTGGTTCACGTGGGAGCCAAGGCTTCTTGACGTGGGCGCTCTGCGGTGTTGCAAACGTCTCTTGCCCGAGAGTAATACGACACAATCTAATCTAGTAGAACATCATATCAGGTTGCATAATGCCGTATCGTATGCTGTACTTAAGCCGAAGGTTAAGGCTCAGAATGTCTCTTGTGTGAGATGCAAGTGACTCTTCCCGTCTGCTCTCTTCTATAGTCTCCTTAGGAAATATGTTTTGTTTTGGCTCATATTAAACCCAAGAGGCTATTGAAGATATTGCTGTTTTCATGATTTATGGTTCTAAGGAGTATAGTCTTTGGTGATGCTGCTTCCATGCCCTCGGCGGTCGAACGCAGTATTGCAGGAGCTGTGTACAAGAACAGTATTCTTGTGTCGTCAGTGTGTGGTGCCTTCTGATGCGCACATCTGCATCCTGCAAGGCCCGCACCTGCTTTTGGTACAGCAGCTGACGCGAACACTATAATAGAAATGGTCCGGTGATCCGAAACCCTAACCCAAAAGCCGTGACCAAATCTTTCAACAGCGCGAAGATCTCAGTAGGAGTATGGCCGAAGTTCCCTGCAGTTCAGAGTGCCATTTGTAGGTTTGCAGTGTCGTCGTGGCCACAGCTCCTGCTAATTGTCTCACCTCAACTCAGACCTCGAGCCACATGCCTCGCCTGGTCCGTCCGAGTGTGAGCGCCGAGACCCTGACCACATGGGTTGTCCGATCAGGTCCCTATACCAAAAACAGGTACCCTTATGGATCGCTTATAACCCTTTTCTAAGGAAGGCGTTGGCCTTCTGCTTCCCCAGCTGATGCGGGATTTCCCCATCAGCCCGGGCCAATCTGGCCTTGAGCCTCCTATGCAATCATTGCTCACAATGTTTGGGCTCCTTGTCATTGTAGGATGTAGACTAAAGTAGAAGCCAGAAAGTTGGAACATCACTATCCTCGTGCCATTTAGGTAAGCCCAGCACTAATCGTCCTGAATGCATGCTCCAACTTTCTGGGATCCACGATATATTGTCATTGTTGTTTCCTGAAACCAGGGAGGGTCAAAGGGTCAGGGGGGTCCTACGTCATGGCCTTGGTGAGCCGGGGTTGACCCGAGCACGATCCCGAGCAGCTGGTTGTAAGCGCAGACAGAATCAAACACCTCAGAACTGACAGAAGCATAATTGAAAGATCTGTATGGTCTCCGTGTGCGGCGGTGAGTCGAAAGCATATCGCCATGAGACTCCTGACCGAGCCCAAACGCTTAGTGCCCTAAGCCCTCCAGACCCTCCAGCCGTAAACCTTGTTTAGGGTTTAGGCCCCTGCGTTTGGCCGAGGTCGCCACCAGTTTCACAGTGGGCAACGCCCTGGGGCTGGCATTCGGCGGGCTGCTCGCAGAGCGACAGGCAGGGGACAGGCGTAGAGAGGCCCCCAAGTATCCCCAAGTCGACCCTTTCATGAATATACCCTTAACCAAAGGAGACTTCAGTACTATGATGTATGGTATGATTCTCAAGTAAGGGCTTATTGAGCTCTCGGGATGCGAAAGGTGTGTCATTAAGACGCGGACATGGCTGCATGCCACTGCGGGTTGCAGCTGCAGCACCGAAGGAGGTCCTGCCTAGCTGCCTAGCTCCGCAACCACTACCCTAGTAGTAGAGTAGGTAACCTTAAACCTTGTTTGGGTAGCACAGTCCCTGTATAATCCCTATATAACCAAGAAGGTTACCCTTTAGTTCCCCATGATACCCGACAAGTAGGCTACTGCCCAGTGGCTGCTGGATCCTTAAAACCCGCATGAAACTTGTGGGCAGCCGCACATGGCCATGAGAATCGTGAAAGGATGCATTCAGCCTGCAGTCTCTATATTGCGAGCATTACATCGTAGTTTCATACTGTAATTTAAGGGCCCTCATAATCAGAATAGGGCTTTGGGTGATACTATACTATAATTATAGTAAAGAGCCCCCCCCAAAAAAAAAGAAAATAGTATGGGTAATTATTAAGGCCCCTACATTAATTAATAAACAGGGATCTCCACGCCAAGCAAGACTTTGGGCTTCGCACTTCGCAGGCTCTCAGTCGAAGCAGCTTTGAGCTGTTGGAGTTACGTCAGCTCCCTACAGCCACGGCCTTGAACTCTGAGCCCCAAGCAGCCAGATCCTAAGCCAGTGCTAATTGACTTCCAGTCAGACACCTGGCCATAAATTTCTTTCGCGAAGCTCCCGAAGCGGAAACTGTTTCAGGGCTTTGAAGCTGTAAGGCCTCCTCCCCCCCCCCCCCCCCGCGTTTTCTAGAGCTTCAGGCTTGAAGGCGTAAGTTCGCAGGATTTTGAGCTTGAGAGGTTTAGACTAGCCGCCTGGTTGGAGTCAGGGCCGCCGTGACTTGGCACGCTTGGGGCTGCTTGCGGCCGCTCGCCACCGCATGAAGAGGCTTCGAGGAAATTGGGAGTGAATGTTCTAGGGTCGGCCAGGCCTTCAGGTGCCAAACCTCAAAGCCTGAACATCTTAAACCCAGAGCCAAACATCTCAAGCATAGACCCTAAATCCATGCATACCGAAGCCCACCAATCTGCATCTTCGGCTTTGGCAGCATTTGCCCTCGATCCTTGTTGCCAACCCTCGTCCCCAAACTTGGTGCGGGTGGCAGCGGTGGTTTTGTATCAGAGTTTGCTTGTTGGCTTGGCGGTGTCGTAGTCGATGCTCATAGGAACCTAGAATGACCAATAGAGGGGATCCAACTGGCGTCGTAGAACCCGGACGGACCAGAATGGAGCGAATCACTGCGAGAGTTCCAAGCATAAGGATCGACACGACTAAGCCAGTGTCATCCGGCCTTTCGTTGCCCTTGAACTCGATGTGTTTAATGGCCAAGGCTTGTTATGGTTCCGCATCAAGCGACCAGGTAACCACTATGGGGGTCTAAATAATTACCTACACCACTTTGGGGGGGTTCCTTCTTATATTATTTTCTAGTAGAACGGGCCCCAAAACCCTATTCTAAATATAAAGGCCCCTACATCAGTCACCTGAACCGGAGCCCCACGTCAGATGTCAAGGTCGCCGTGGCGGCTAGCCTCATCCTCGGCGCAACAAGGCCGGATGAGCGAGCAGAAGTGTTTCACTTGAGGCATTGGGCTTTGAAAGGGCGGTGATAAGCCGTCAAAGGCCTTCTAGAGTTGAGGGTTAGCATTTTAGGAGCCAAAGAAGATAATTAAGCGGTCTGTGTGGCTTCAAAAGACAGAAAGCTTTCGACTCTCAGCAGCTGGCAGCCCACGAGGCTAGAGTCTAGAGGATGTCTTGTCAGGTGCATGGATGCGTTCATGCCGTAGCACACACACCCTAAGCCCCGTGTTGAACCCTAACGCCGGGAGAGGAATCGTCTAACGAGGCTTTGGAGTCATCAGCCCCCATACAGATGCTACGTATAGCCGCCATTGCAGGCTACCAGTTCTTGCGGCCACAGTTGTTGTGGCCATACATACTACAGTCAATGTTGATATCGTGGTCGGAAACAAAACGGTCACACCAGCCTTGCTCGGACGAAGTCCTTCCCTTTGAACTCTGAGGGTTCACGCTCCCTTTGAAAACAAGCGAGAGTAGGGAAAGCAGCAAGTCCGCCTTCTCACGCAAACTCCGAAGCATTCAACAACCACTCAGAACGGCAGCTTGCAGTTTTTCCTTTCTCCTTGCTGCCCGCGCACTTCTGGGTGTTGGTGCCGGGCTCCTGGCTGTGGCCGTGCCTGCGCTGTGCCTGGCCTTGCAACTGGAAGACTTTTGTGGTTTCGGGCTCCGACGTTTTCTGACCAGCTGCTCTGAACCACAAGCGCTTAACCTTGAAACCTTTAGCCATAGACCCTAAGCTTATGACCTTTGCAGATCTCAGGCTGACCGAGAGCCTACCTCGCGAGAATCTCGAGGCGTGGGCGGTTTCTTCTGTTGTTGACCCGAGGCTACGGGCAGGTCTTGGGGTTTGATGGCTTTTCGGGTTAAGGATTTAAACGATCGGCCCCCATTTGAGTTGCTCCCGTATTGTCAGCGCAGGTCTGGTCAAATCCCACCATGACCCTGCACCCTGAAACGCCTGGATCCTGGACCCCTTCTACGATCTTTACAATGCCCTCGTAACACCCTTGAAAGAAGCCCGAGCTGCACCCTTATTTCTGGAACGGTTTTGGGGGACTCTTGAGGCCAACCTCTCGGCCTATCCTTGCGGCTGGCCCTTGGGGGCGGTGGCGCCTTGGCTAGGCACTAGGCTTTCGGGAGAGCGACTTTCAGGTTGCGTCTAGAAGTCTCAGTAGTTGCCAATGTTATTCCGCAGGGCTCCTTGTTCTATTTATACTTTGAGGTACCCTCAAGCCCTATTCTAATCGTTCAGACTCCTGGATGAGAAGTTATGGGTTTTCAGAGGACTTGATAGAGGGGCCTTAACCAAAAGCGAAGCGGATCTTAAGGTATACTCCTCGTGGAAGTCTGAACATACCCTTCTCCCTCTGTCACAATGCGTACCAGTTTAGAGGGGCCTGCGAAATTCGGAATCGTGCTGCTACCACGGTGTCGTGCCACGTGCCCATTTTGGTGGCACACATGCTTCGTCGGCAACGGCGGGATGCATGTTCTGGGGTGCCATTACAGGAGTTGGCCCCACAGTGTCGTGCGCATTTTGCACTCACGGTGTAGCCTTGAACACGGGGGTGCGGACTGCTATGTCACTTTTGGGCACTTTTGTGGCCGGCATCATTGAGTGTCATGCTCTATCATCAACCGAAGGCCGGAAAATCCGAAAACTCAGGCTTAACCCTTTATGTGAAGCGCTTTGAGACCTCATTCGGCCAGTCCGAGTGGTGAGAGACTGTCGTCTTCAGGGCCATAGCCGGGTATGTTGCCCAGGTCGCCATCCTACTAGCCGGACTGGCCTGGCGTCAATCCCTCGCGCTGCCATTGGGTCTCTTGCCCTTGCAAATCTTGCGGGCTGCGAGCTTCCAGGTAGCCAACTTTGCTATGTACCACCGTACGTACGTGTCTCTCAGTCTCTCTCCGTTTCTGCCTGCACATACTCAACATGTGCATTTGTCTCGCTAAAACCGCTAGAGATATCGAGTCATGGTGCTCTTATGCAGCTATGCACGGCACGCGAAAATGGAGCCTTGGCCTCTTGACTTCTCTTCGGAGCTGAAAGACCCCTGAAAAGGAATATACCTTAAACCATAGTATTTTTGGCCCGTATAATGTAATTTACGGTATGTTCCTTAATTAAGGGATAGCCGAGGCTTCTCTTGGCAGTTGAGGCTTCTGCGTGCTGCTTCTGCCACTACTGCTGTGGCTGCCCGAGTCGCCGCAGCACACTGGCCTACCATATTGGCCTTAAGAAGTACCCACACTATTCTGGGGGGGGGGGGGGGTCCTCATTATTTTATAGTATAACCTACCTCAAAACCCGATTCTAATTAGTGAGGCCCGTATAGTACCGATCAGCAAGCAAATTTGAGAAGGGTAATCGTCAGACTTCCCATCCGAGGCATAATGACGGCTGTGATGACAAAGCCTCTTTTGGGGGTTGCACAGTCATTCGACTATTCGACATGCACGACTCAACTTGCAAAGTCTTCTGAGGTGTTGAGTTAAGCCATTGCGGTTTACATGTTTTGCTTTAGAGCTCGAGACCTCGTTCCAATTTTGCAGAGTGGTTTATTGCATCTGAGGTATCTGCAACTGCGGCTTGGAAGCATTTCTCCTTCAGGACGCAAGGGCATCGGATGATCGGACTTTGAAGGCTCCAACAAAAGTAAGCCCCCACGAAAAGGTATCCTGACCAATCATTCAACGGCGAAGATAGGGCCTTCTTTCAAAGGGGGCCGACTTGCCAGATCCCTGCCCTCAAGAAAATCCTGAAAGGAATCCTGAAACTCCTAAAGGACCCCGCAATAAAAAGGAACGCAAACCCTAAACCCTAAAGTTTTCGTGAGCCTTCGTGAGCCCAAGGCCCAAGGAAGGGGCAAACCCTAAACCCTAAAGTTTTCGTGAGCCCAAGGAAGGGGCGCGTGGAGGATGCACGGGAGGCCCGCCGGAAGCTCAGCGGACGCTCTGAGGCCCGGTCTAGTCAAACTCAACTACCGTGTCCCAGAGCGCCCAATACCTCCCTATAAGTGTTCGGATACCTGTAAACGCATACAGTTGGCATTGTATAGATACAGAAATGTGTATGTATGTATACATATGTATATATACACAATTACATACATACACGCACAGATACATGTATGCACACCTTGAACACCAACGGGCTTAAAACTAAGGTCCAATGCGTACTGCTTTTGGTGCCCAAATACTGCAAAGCTTGTCGGAGAGTTTTTGAGTTGGGCAGTAATCCTGAAGAGGTATCCTTCATTCTCAATCACTACCAGTCATTACCCAGTGAACCATGAAGCCCCACCCACCCACCCCCTTCGCCGACCTTCAATCACAGCATGTTTAGCTTAGCAGGGGGTTCTGCTTAATACAGCTTTGCGTTGGCTCGAAGTGGGATTTTCACTGGATTTCTCCTTATCGGGCTTCTGATGGCCGACTGCCGCAGCCACCGTTGTTGGGATTTTGCGTAGTTGTGGGTATTGCGTGCAAACCCCGCGAAGTCAGTCGGAGCCCTTCAAAGTTCTGGAAGGAGTTTCACAAGCAGCTACTTGAGGTTACCAATGGGAGGTCTGGACAATTAGTCATAGGAGGCCAAGAGGGGTTTTAGCCTATGGGGGTTTAGTAGGGATTAGGGTTCCCGTCAATTAGTAGTGCCATCCCTGTTTGGCGAGGCCACGGAGGAGCAGTCTGGGACCGCCAAAGAGTCTTGTGGCAATGTCAGCTTCGTCAGGACCTGCACCGCACTGTCCGCTAACCCTACTTTAAAGGATCACGGGACTTAGTAACTAGGGTTAGAAATAAGGTAACTATACTTACAATCACTTGTAACCCCAATTAGGGTACTTATAACCATACTTACTAAGTCACCGGATCCTCCAAGTACACCATAAACCGCCCGACTTGCAATGTAAATGTAGGGTTCAGGATTCGGGCAGCTGAAAAGGATCGCTGCGAATGCCTGGGAGAGAGGTGGTGAAGGTGTATTTAGTAAATTTAGTACCAATATTCTTTGGGCTCCAATAAACCTGCTTCACAAGAGGCCCCCAAACTCTCGTAAGAGTAAACCTTCTCAACCCCAAGCCTTTCCAGCCAAAGCTCGGTCGATCGGACTCGGAGGGGCCGAGAAGGCCGTAGGAGAGCCCGTCGACAGCTGCTACCCGTTTGCAACTGATGAAGACATGATGTCCATTGTCATTTACAATGGCTTTCTCAAATCACGAGGTGGTCTCGCATTGTAACTCTTCTTTAGCTGGGTCGAGTGCAGAATTGCAGAAGCTATACACACCCATACGAAGTGGTCGAAAAGTACGGGTGAAACTCGAAGGCTCAAAACCCCTAGGCTTTACAGAAGCAAGTACAGCATTTCGCCAAAACTCCTATGGTGTATGTTCAGAGATTGATGGGAGTTTCCGAAAATTTCGGGGGACGTTACTTGGGGGGCCTTATAAGGATCCTACTATTTAGGGTGGTATATTAGAGTCCCCTATTTTGGGAAACTCCCTGATCGGAGGATGGCTGCGACTCTAATGTGCCGCCATGCGGCCTCCGTTCTGGTAAAGATTTGGCTCCCCGCCTCTTGGCTTTGGCTTGATTGGCTTGATCTAGGAGTTTCCACAGAAGAAAATTTCGGGGGGGTACCTTTTGGGTGTTTTTCCTCAGGATCCCACTATTTAGGGTAGTATATTGGGGTCCCCTATTTTCGGAATCTTTCTGATGGGTTTGGGATGGTTTAGGGCAGGGCTTAGGATTCGTCGCGGTCTGGCTAGAGTTGAGTCCAGGGTCGGGGCCTGTAGGGTTTAGCGTTTCGGGGCCTGTAGGGTTCAGGGTTTAGTTGGACAAGGGTTTAGTTTGAGTTAGAGCTTGATGATAGAGGAGAGAGCTAAGATGATCTAATGTCAGGTGCTGGGAAGATTCCTGTGCTCGAGCTTGATGATGTGGTGGTTTAATGTAAGGAAGTTGAGGGTTCTTAGCAATGCTGTACTTGGGGCTCCTTTTAGCAACGGCGCGATTGTTGAAGGTCTTGTATTGGGGTCCTTCATTGCGTCTCAAGATTCTTGTGGAAGTTTCAGAAAATGGGATCCCAGTTGTCGACCTTAAATGAGAGGGTCGCCAATCTTACAAGTTGCCATAAGGCATAAGGATCCCCCCCAAATAAGATGCCCGTGAAACCCCATGGACCACTCCAGATCGCCGAGCCATGGACACAAGGTGTAGCCTTTGAGGTTTGGGTTCGCCCCACATTTTACAAATCTAGGCTTAGGAAGTAGAGCCTAGTGTCCGGAATTGTCCGGATTCAGCTGCGCAGGGGTTGTACGATGTGGGGATGCTAGCTTTGTATTCGAAGCGGCGGAGGTTCAAAAGAAGTCAGGCGTCAGCATGTTCGGGTAACGACGGTATGGCACATCTGTTCCAGGCTGTGGGCTAGACCCCATACCCTGATAAACACCCGCAACCCAAAAAGGTGCAATGGCCTTGAAAGCAAGGAACCCTAAACCCAAATTTCAAAAAGCTGGCATAGTCCTCGCTAGGCGAGAGGCTGAGAATTCATAAAAGCTTTGCAGCCAAAGAGGATTTTGATTGACATCGCAACTGAAGCGAGTTGCACTTCAAATCTCATTCCCATTGACCACCCTTCTATGCATGGTCGCCCTTGCGATGCGGAAGGAAAGAAGCCTTTCTTTGTCTTCAGCCCTAGAATCCCGAAACCCCGAAGCCCTGCACCTGCAAAGAAACGTGAAACCCTGACAACCCAGATCCCGAAAGCCGCTAAGCACTACAAGAACCCTAAGCTTCAAACCCCTAAATAAGACGCACAGACGCCGAAGAACCCTACCCCAGTTCTACCCTTATAAACCCTAAGCCCTAAGACCTGGGCGGGTGGGAAAAAAAGACCTAACTAAACCCTGCGCCCCCCAAAAGCCGCGAGGTTTGGCTCGCGAGCCAGGGTTCGGCGACCAGCGCCATGCTTTTGATGTACTCCTTGGAGGCCGAATCTGAGGTTCAGGGTGCGGTGCAGCCGAGGCTTAGGGAATATGAAGAGAGAGAGAGAGAGAGAGAGAGAGAGAGAGAGAGAGAGAGAGATAGAGAGAGAGAGAGAGAGAGAGAGAGAGAGATACAGTGCGTCCAGCCAACAACGGGCTGCCCCCAGCGGGGGGTTCGCCCCTCAAGCCTGGCGAAAGAAAGAGAGAAAGAGAGAAAGAGAGAGAGAGAGAGAGCACGGGTTTAGGGCTTTCGGGGCTTGGGGTTCAAGGTGGGGCGAGCGAAGCCTTGCGGGTTCAGGGCTCACAGGGTTCAAGAAGCGTTTAGGCCAGAAGCCCTTTAAGGGAACATGCAAAAAAAACATTTTGCGAAACCCTCAGGAGGAGGGTGTTTTGGTGGCTGCAAGTAGCATTCTGCTTGGGAGGGCGGTGAGGGGTATGAGTGCGGGGTAGAACAGGGGGAGTTTACTGCTCTAGAGGTTTTCTCATCTTGCAGATGGGTTCTGCCTATAAAGCTAAAGTTGTGTTTGGAGTACGGCTCCGTAGCGGTTACTGGCCCCCCTTCTTCAGAGGCACAATTGAGGATCCTTCACCCTGTTCGCCTCGTCTGGGCCCTGATACTTTTCCATGCACTTGACATGTGAAGGAAACTTCATGAGCAACTCGCCACTCTTGCAGTTTGTGTATGGCTGAGCTTACTTTAGATGGCTCTAACATATCAGAGCTTAAACCCTAAACTTTGTGGTGCCTGGGGTTCTGGCTGAGCCGCTTCCACAGATAACCGTGACTGCGACAACTTGCATTCGCGACCCAGACAGACGCAGTAGTCCACTTTGCTCCTCTAGCTCACAAGTGGAGGCTGTAGTAATTGGCGGAAAGCTGATAACTCGTGCCCCAGCGGGCGGTGACTACTGTTTTTCCTACCTAGCATACCCTGCAATGTGGGCTTCGTCCAGGTAGGAGGGAAAAACCCTCTAAATCAAAGCCCTGCGTAGCAGGTTTTTGCTTACCAGGCGGGACGCAAAAACACGTCCTAAATCCTGTCTACAGCTTACATTTAAACCCCTAAACTCTAGTTATATTGTTTTCAGATCATAGCTATAGTTGGTGAAAGCTCCCTACTATTTCGTTTCATTCAGCAGGCCTAGATTGTCCGAGTTGCGAGAGCGTAAACCCAACACCAGAAACCACTGCTTCAGGCCGTGGGGATTTTTGTCACGAGCCGCGTCCTCGCGGGAGCGGACGAGGCAACTCCGCCCTACGGGGTCCCCAATGACAAGGGGCGGTGGCCTAGCAATCGGGATCCCTCAGGTCGGGGCAGGAGCATGTAGAATGGTGCAATCTAGTATACACAGTATAATGATATGGCAGAATGGACTACTGTAATACAGCTAATAGCTGAATAGCTTATAAGGAGCCGGTTGAGATGACGTTTTTTCTAAAACTTCCAAGAGGGTGGCTCCCGAATCCCAAACTCCACTTTTGAGTTGCGCGAAGCTTCTGCAATGTTTCAGAGAGAGTTCTGCTTGGTATCCATTGTGGTATGCGTTCCACGAAAACTAAATAGCTCGAGGAAGGTAAAGATCATATCCAGAAGCAGACTTGTTATACAGTTCAATTATCGAGACTCTTGCGCTTCATGTCAGTGAGGTTTGGGCATTTTGTCGATGTATCCTGGCATGACCATGCCGTAGATGCCCGTCGCTTCCACCTGGCAAGCCGAAGAGGTCTCGGCTTGAATGCAGAGCAGCAATAGGCACAGAATCAAGGAAAGCTGTAGCAATCAGTGTTTAAGAACCCTGAGTCCTGCCCTATTATTGCCGAGATTCAACCGAACACTCTGCATCAAAGGCCTCCGATGCTTCGGAATCCTGCAGCCTTGTGAACCCCAAACCCCAAGCCGAATCCCCTGCAGTGGGGCCTCGTCCTTGCTAGGTAGGAGGGAAGAAAAAGCCGAAGCCCGCTTCATTGAGAGGCTGCAGAAGCGATGGCCCGCGGGGCCAGGCTCAGTCTGGCCGCAGGCGAAGCTTTCTTGAGATCAGGGCCGTCTTCCAAATTCCCAATACCCTCTGCACCGACTTAGTAAACATTGAGGACCCCTAAGACTGTGGTTCAGAGCCTGAACCTGAACCCCATGTTCGGCGATTGCACTGCGTGTCTTGATTGGCCTGGAGTTGTGGGTTATGCATGTTTTTTTAACTTTGCCACTACCCTTCAAACACGCAGGCAGCAAACGTGGAAAGCTTAAGCCCCGTCGTTGGCCCTGAAGTTCTATCAGATCCTGGCCTTGAAAAAGCCTCAGCCGATGGACCCCTACATCCGTGGATCTTCAATAACTGAAAAACTCTTTCGCTGGTCGAGACTAGCCATTGCGGGGCAGTGCGACCCAGTCAGCTGGGCGGGAGGCAGCAAAGCCTTACCTTTGGTTAGTAGGGAATGGAGGAGTGAATTATAACTACTATTACTACCATTCTTCCATTCCCTACTAACCAAAGGCAAGAAACCTGAACGGTAAAGCTCCAAAGCCCGGCAACCCTTTGACAAGGAAATCTTTGTCTACTCTACTCATGGAGGCTTGGATCACTACTACCACTGTTCCCGTGGGAGCCTAAGTCGATTCATACTGCTGTAATGTACTCCGAAAGCTCATTCTGACCATGAAGGCCCTTATCACGAAACTACAAACCCTACACACTTGTTCTAATTGTTGAGGCCCGTGTTATAAGCGGCATACACAGGCTCGTAATAGGTCCTTTTTTACAGGCTGCCTGGCCACCTTGGGCTGCTTGGGCTGCAGAGGCCGGACGAGAAGGGGGAGTAGTGCTCAGATAGTCATAAAAAGAATCACAAGAAAAGCCATAGTCAACATAATGAATGCGTAGAAGAATCTTCCTCTTGTTGTGAAAGTAGTAGGCGTCGTCCGTCGTTGTTGCTATGCCTGTGCCTGCGGCAGTTGTTGTTGTTGTGGTTGTGGTTGTCGTTGTTGCTGTGCCTGTACCTGCGGCAGTCGTTGTTGTGGTTGTGGTTGTCGTGTTTGTGCTGCCACTACCACCACCACGACTACTACTGCTACTGCTTCTTCTACCTCTCTTCTACTTGGAGCACCACGACTATTACTTCTACTACCACCACAACCACAACTACTACTCCTGCTGCTTCTGCTGCTACTACTCCTACTGCTACTCCTACTGCTACTGCTACTGCTACTACTACTACTACTACTGCTACTACTACTACTACTACTACCACTACTACTACTACTACTACTACTACTACTACTACTACTACTACTACTACTACTACTACTACTACTACTACTACTACCACCTTCTTATTGGCTTGTCGAGTAAGATACGATCACGCTCTCGTGTCTATCTTGGCTGTTGTTGGCGTGTTGTGCTTTGAGGCTCAGACCGACGCATGGGGCGAGGGTTGTGGATGCTGTTCCTTTCGGGTCTCCGGACTCGGTCTTCTATCACAACACTGGCCATGATCTGGAGAGCTGATACTGCCGCACCACACTCCGGAGCATGTTTGTTAGGACGACTTCGGTATGTCGAATTGTTGCGGCCGGTAGGTAACAAAAACTAGATGACGGAAAGCGCCTTGCGCGCTTGGGAGTTGCTGGGGCGTTAGCCTGAATATAAAGGGGGGGGTGTGGGGGGGGGGTGCTGGGGCAGCCACCCGGATTTGCAGTATTTCGGGGCCCCCGTGGGCATCATTGGGGTTGTGCGTGCTTCTTGGGCTCCTGTAAAGGTCCCTGGCGGTAAGTTGCGTGCAACATTGGAAGCATAGACGGTTTTTATCGCTATTTACAGTGTTTTTGGCTAATGTTGGACACCTCGCGGGGCGGCCCCCAGCCCCCGCAAGGCGAGCATCATCAGCATCAGCTGGGCAGTGTCGTCCACGTTCGTGCGCACGTCATGAACTTCAGCTGGCGCGCTTGGCGCATGTCGCGGGGAGTCCCGGGGCCCAAAGCATCCTGAGCATCATTGGCGCTTCGTTTCTGCTGTGCTGGGGCGTTAGGCTTCGGGTGGGGGGGGGGGCTCTCAGGAATGAGGACTGGACAAGGGTACTGGGCATGGGTTCCCTATCGTAGTTCTGCCCAACCTTTGATGTATTCCTAGTACGCCAGTGCTGGGGCCTTGGTCAAAATTCTGCGTAGCTTTCTCTCGAGAGAAACATGATGGCTGCGAAAGCATTGCTATACTTTTTAAGACGTCAGGAGAGGCTTGTGACAACCGATAGGGGCGCTGGACTAGCGGACAGAAGGCAAAAGAATGGCTTTAACCTTTATGTGGGCTTTTTGCTCTTACGTTTATTCAGTTGAGAATCCTTGATTTGAAGCTTTGGCTCCGCACAAGCGTTCCTGTTGGTAGGTTACTTCGCGGACGTCGTGTTCTTGAGAACAACTGCTTCGCATGACTGCTGCTGTTCGTGATGATCAGGACACAGAGATGCATACGCAAGTTTTGCATGGCAGTACCACGTCATCTTAGCCCAGGCAGAAACGGGGTAGCAAGCAGCCCAGAGCAACAGCATCAGCAGCAGCAGCATCTCAACTGCTGCAAGTGGGAAGTCTTCGGTGTCCAGCCCAGTCGAGTGTGACTGACCGCTACCTGCCGCGAGGCAGGACGGCGCCAAGAGCTTTGCAGGGTTTTTTTTCGAACTTGGGGCCTATCGTTTCGACGCGCGAAAGGTTCCTTATAGGGCTTGGGGCTTACCGGGGCATGCATCGGCTCCAACTATCAATCCCCAGCCGTTGCCTTCAACGGGCGACAGCTGCGTTAACCCAATGGGGCCCGTTTCGGTTCCAACATAATACTTTGCTTGCTTGCTGGTCCGCCGAATTCTGCGGTTCTTAGCCACTCGCTGCCACAAGAGCGGCGCAGACTGAGCACGCGACCCGCCCGGCAGAAACCGGCTGCCACGGTGGGGGGGCAAGTTCGGAACTGTGGACTCAGGATTAGGCCGGACGGTAAGGTGGAGGGACAGGTTCGGGATGTCTGCTCGCGGGCTGGGACTTCAACGGCTCCTCGACAGACGAGAGCGCGCTTTCCGTTGTTTGCCAAGCTGGTTCGCAGAGCCCTGCCGCACCTGCTGCGAGGCACGTCTAGTGCACACCTCAAACATTTATGAGAGTGAGTGTCAAAACCCCTCCTGCAAACACAAACACGCCAAAAGTCTCTGAAGCCCTAATCCAGACTGCCTGTAGGCCATGCGCTGCTGGCCGGAGTCTTGGGTGCCGCGCACCTCATTGCACAGGTCGGGGTGGGAGCGTGCATTGGTGGAACGAAGCTCAAGTCGCAATTGAGCTTTGCGGCAGATGATCGTGAAGCTTGTATAGCCGTAGCCAGGGACCCATTAGGAATAATGTTAGTAGCCGCCAGCCAGAAGCCAGAAGCCGAATCAAAAAGCCTTAAACCTTTCAAAGCAGTGAACCCCTGTGTTGCTAAGCCCAGAAGCCAAAGCAAGAAGGGATGAGTGGCTCTGGGCTTAAGGCTAAGGGTTTAGGGTTCAGGGTTGAAGGTTTCGATTTTGCTTTCGGGTTCGGGGGCCTCAAAACTTTAGCAAGAGGTCCAAGCTGCAAGCAATATGGCATTGGGCTTTGAGACTACAGGTTTTCGGTGCCGGGTCGAGGCTTTTCAAACCACCAGGCGTCCTTGCATGCAAGCCTGCAGCAAAAATGGTTGGGGATCTATTTGCAGTTTTGCGATTAGGTGTTGTGCATGTAACAGGTCAGCATGGAGAACCGAGTTTACACTAGCCTGCCTGGGGTTTCTTGGAATTAAAGCCTGCTTCGCAGTACTCGTAATCAGGATCCTATACCTTAAGGGCTTCTTGTTTCCCGAGACTCCAAGCTCGCCCCTGCTTTTAGAGGCAAACTCGTGCAACCTTCTGCAGCTCGCCAGCAGTGAGCTAAACCTGGGTTCATCAAGACCATGGGTCCTTTTCGTGAAATTTCTCACAGGATTTGCTTGGTTACAGGGCCCATATGTGGACCCTTTACTGTTTTTGTTTGGCGCTTCCTGGATGGATGTTGGCATGATTCAAAATTCTTTGCAGGTAGAGGCCAAGGGTGCATCCGGTGTTTCGTGCGCAGTTTACGACTGACATTTTGTGTAGACCGATCTGAAAAGATTGTAGGTTGTTGAAGGCTACAGCCATGCCGCCATCCTGAACTTCGCAGTCCTGTGTGTTTATTATAAAGGATTTGTCTTAAATACATTACAATCACTGGTCCGATCTTGCTTGCACTCTTCTTCTTCTAGCTCCTTCCCACGTGTTGACGGGATGGACACCCTCATTGACGCCTAAACCCTAATATTGACTATGTATCCCGCCTTTCATCCCATACTCTGAACCCCGATTCCTCAACTCTAAACCCTGACCTTGAACCCAAAACCCTGTTAGGCCCATGCTTTCAAGGCTGGCCTTCGCCAGCTGCTCCGCAGAAACCGCCGACCGTGCGCGCACTTTGTCGCGGCTCAACCTCCTGAGCTGCATGACTGCTTAGAGGAGCGTTGAGCTTCAGGGTTGAGGGTTTAGGGTTTGGTAAAGGCCTGATGCAAAAGGGTTGAGGATTTAGGGTTTAGGGGTTTTGAGGCTCAATGACGGTGGTTTCAAGATTTGCACGCTCTTGCATCCTGGTGGAAAGAAGGATGCTACGGCCTATGTATACGCATTTGCGTGTCGTAAGTTGTGCATGGATCGCTTCATTATTTTTGGCCCAGACTTCCGAGTCTGCCTTCAAGCTCTCCACAGTCTTCCACTTAATCCTCCAACCATATCTAAAGATGAAGAACGGCCAATCACACACACGAGAAGACCATCTGCGCCCGCCGACAAATTCAATTGTCCTGACGACATTTCCACCCTCATCGTAGTCAGCATCTGCATCAGTTACTCAGGACAAAAAGCCGCTTTCACAACGGGATTGCTCCGGCGCATCACTTGCTAAGGTTAGTCCGAGGTTCACAAAAATATCCCGGATCTCTGAATTACCTCTTACTCCGTCATCCAACATTCCAGTAACATCACTTGCTTGTTGCTGCTGCTTCCTGTACTATTCAACTTTCCTGGGTTCCGGCAGATTGAGCGCTTTGAAGTCTGCGGTGTGGGTTTATAGGTTACTATTAAGGCCCTACTATAATGAGGAACCCCCAAAATAGTATAGGTTATGATTTAGACTTACGAGCCCTCCTATTCGGACTCCTACTCAGCCAACGGGCAGATTCCTTTTGAGAGCCTGAGGTTTCCTCAGCGGAAGCCGCTGGGCACCATTGGCACTTCTTTGGCCTCGAAAAAATATAAGGGCCTTAAGAATTAGAACAGGGTTTTGGGGGGCCACTATCACTATGCTCTTACTATAATAAGGAACCCCCAAAATAGTATAGGTCAATAAAAATGGCCAACTATACTAACATGATAAAGAACCCCCAAAATAGTATAGGTTATCATTAAGGCTTACTATAATCAGGAACCCCACACACAATAGTATAGGTCCTTATTTACGGCATCCAAAGGCCCTTCAAGGATCAGGGCACCTGTTTAAGAGGCTTCCATTGGGGAGGGCGGGGTGGCTACACATACATAATATTAGGGGCTGCGCCCAGGTGCGGGCAGCGCGAGCTGTTGTCAGAAACCCGCGGTATATAGATAAGTGCAACGTAGGCCCGAAGTGCGCAACTTGTGGGTGATCGTAGGCTCTCAGCCCCCGTCGGCCCTGCATGTAGCCCGCACCCCCCGTCCGCCGGACCCCGCTGATGCTCATGATGCGCGCCCTTTGGCGGCTTCCGCAACCCATTCAAAAACTTGGGA